GCCACGGGGCGGGGCGGGACGCGGCGGCCGAGCCCGGCGAGACAGCGGCGGAAAGTGCCACGACTCCACACGGCCGCGGCGGCGAGGAGGGACCGCGACCCGGCACGGGTGGGTAGGGGCGGCGGCAGCCCTTCCTTCCCCCGGCCCCTTCCCCGGCCACCGCTTCCGCGATCCCCCCGCCCCGCGCTGCCGGCGGGACCCCCCGGCCGGCGCTGCCGCGGCGCTCGGAGCGGGGCGGGAGCCCCGAGGCGCGGCCCCGGCGCGGAGCCGTGTCCCGCGGGCGGCGGCGGCGGTGCCGGCGCGGGGTCCGGTCCGTGCGGCGGGGCCGGGCGGATGAATGGCCCTGAGCGCGGAATGGCGGCGGTGCGGGCAGGGCGAGGGCCGGGCCCCGCGCTGCCCCCGGCCCCCCGCGCCGGCCGGATGACAATTGCTAATCTGATTAACCGCGCTCGCAGAAGGTCCCGGCGCTCGGGCCGCTGTCCCTTGTCCGCCTTCTTTCCTTAACTGAGCCCCCCCGACGAAACTCTGCTGGCGCCCGGAGACCCCCGGCAGCGCGGAGCTGCTAGACAGAGGCACCGACCGCACAGGCGGAGACCCCCGCCCGCCCGCCGTGGGCTCTCTCCCGGCGGGACACGAGCAGCCTTGCCGGGGTCTGCCCGCTCCTCGCCCCGCCGGGGAAGCGGTCCAGCGGAAGAGCGTGTGCTGCACACGTGGCTGAGCGGGACGGAGAAGTGTCCGCGCCTGGAATGCCAGCTCTCACCTTCGTCGAAGCCCTGCGCCAGCGGGAATTGGCTGGAAGGAGTCGAGGCTACCTGGGATGTGAGCCCCAGGGAGGAGCTGATGAGGACCGGCGGTGAAATGCCTCTTCGGGCCAGGGAGGGGAGAGAAAATTTCTAATAGCCGCTGCAGAGTTTAGTCAAGCTGCAGCTGTGTTGTGGTGCTGTTACACTCTTCTCCTGTATATACGTGTATTTTCTGCCTGTTTTCTCACTCCTGGGCTGAGGAAGGGAGCTGGCAGCACTGCTGGCAAGCACGAGCCAGCTGGCTGCTGCTGCCAGAGCTAATGGAGCACTAAGACACGTTCAATTAAGTCGAGCTGTAACTGTTGACGAGGGGCTGATCTGGAGTTGCTGTGTGGAGTAGCACATGCTGCTGGGAGGCTGGAAGTGCACAGTCACTTACACAGAAAATGTATTTAAACAGAGGCTGCTGGCATCGTGGGCAGGATCTGCTCACGGCGTGCAGGCTTTTCTCGTTTGTTTTTAATTTTTGTCTCTATTGCAACAGGGTGGACAGAAAAACTCCAGGAGAAGTATCTGCTGATTGTTTTTTTATCTGCTGGCAGTGCTGTTGCTGATCAGGCCTCCCAGTTCCCTCGTCCTTGCCCTTTCCCTCATTTTTTTTAAGCTGCTGGGATATGTAGAGGAAGGGATGCTGCAGGAGTTTCACAGGCAGGCATTGCTGTGGGTTATGCAGAGCCCGTCTGTGTGAACCCAGCTCTCTCTCTGCCCTCTGGCCCCTCATCACCCCTGCTGCATTGCTCTAAACTGAGATGCCACCTTCACACCGTGGCAGAGTGGAAGCCTTGGGTTGCAGGGGGTCAGTGTCCTGCTTGCAAAGAGCATCTTTTCCTGCCTGCAGCACCTGTCGACACCAGGAGGAGATAACATGTATTTTCCTTTGGCTGTGGGAAGAAATAAGATCTCTGTAGTTACTGCACAACCTGACTCTTCCATTGCTCCTCCCCACCTGTTGTTTGGCCTGGGTGATTTAAACGAGGGTTTGGTGGAGGGCTGGGTTTTAAAGATGCTGAATTCCCATGGATTTCATGTATGGTCACAGAGGGGAGGACAGGCTGAACAGGTGGCACCGTTCCAGCCTGGTTTTTGACACAGCTGTCAGTGACAAATGTGACCACAAGTCACAGAGCGTGGCCCTGGTGCTGTCGTGTCACATGTCTGGGGGTTGGTTCATCCTGGAAATTGTTTAGTGCTGAAAAACCAGAAGGCTGATTGCTTTTCTGGTTCTGCTTCCTTAGGGCGAGTTGGACTTTGGCTCAGGTCAAACAGAGGTGGCTGCATGTGCAGGGAGGTGAGGGAGGTCAGGTCTCTTGGGCTGTTGTCTGGGATTTTGGGAAGCTTGATGGATAACAAGAAAAAGCCACAGGATTGGAAGAGTCAGAGCACAGTGTTTCAGCCAGCTCCTTTGCGTGAGAAGGCCAAGTGAATACCAAGTGAAGTTGTTCACTTTATTCCTGTTCTGATGGTGGGGAAAGGCTTTACCTGGACCAGCTGTTTTGGGGAAGGAGTTTGTGTGTGGAGATATGAGATGGTTTCTGCTGTTTTGGCTTGGAGAGGAGTGGAGGATGCTCCGGAAACCTCATGGAAGTAAATGTGCTCAGTGTTGCATGTGAACTTGATTTTTTGAGCATGAACTCTGATGACTGCTAGTGTCCACTCACTTCCTGGGCACACAGCCCTCTGCCAGGCAGATGGAAAAATGCCATCATGGGAGTGATGCCCCATGGAGGACCAGAAGCTACAGGAGAGAGGATCCTGAAGTCTTTAAACCTCTCCAAAGCCTGGCTGTCAAGCTGAACATGTGAGGCTACCTTTGGTGCCCTGTTTTGCCATGTCCTGGCTAAGACTTTGTCCAGGTGGGAAGCACGGAGGGTTTTCCTGCCATAGGGCGCACGTGCTTGCGAGGGGGATGTGCAAATCCAGGAGCAAAGTTCCAGCCCTCGGAAGGGCAAAGGTGGCAAGGTCAGGAAATGTCAAAGCAGAGCTTCTCTCCTGCGTGCTAACGCCGTGGCATAAATGCTTCTGGCATCTCTGCACCAGGAACTTCCTGTAGGAAGACTTTTCCTTATCCCCCAAATGCCAAGGGCAGCCTGGCTTGATTTAAGCCTGTGTGGCTGTCTGTGCCCCGTTGGAGAGATGGGCTCTTCCCTGAACAAGCTGCTGGGCTGGTCGTGCCAAGTCCCGACCACAGGAGGAACCCTACAGGTAGAACTGGCTCCTCGGAGCCAGCGCAGGGCTGCAGGGCACAGGGACAGCACCAAGGTTTGCCGTGGGGTGCTGCTGGCAGGGATCAGTTCCTGGCTGGCACCTCTCTCTCCTTCCTGTGGATCTTCTGCTGGCACTTCTGTCCTCGGGAACACTGTGGCGTTCCCCTGGTCGAGTGGTGGGAGCTTGGATGGCTTCTCTGAGCATCTCAGCTGCTTTGAGGAGCTCTGGCAGCTGCCCGGGCTCTTTTGCAGGTCCACAGCTCCTGAGTGCTCTCAGCTGCTTTCTTCCTGTATTGCTTTTGGTCTGGAGGGGGTTTTGTTCCTGTATTGCTTTTGGTCTGGAGGGGGTTGCTGGGGTGCTTTTGTTTTGCTAGGAAGGACTTTAGTGCTCATTTACATCCTTATCTCGCCCTGGCTTTAAAGCAGGAGGCAAGGTACAGGCAGCTTTTACTGCAGCCCGTGGTGCTGGGTGAGGCTCTCTGCGAGGGACAGAGGGTATGGGGCTCTGGAAGGGCTTCTGGGGACAGTCCTGTGGGGTAAGGAGTGGGCAGGCACACGGCTCTGGTGCCGTGATGCCACATCCAGCACTGCCATCTCACCCACGGCACCACCCCTGTCCTCTCATCCATCCTCCCTAGTGGAGATTAGGATTTCTTACCCCATTCCCATCCCCTGTGGGCTCCATCAAGCTGCCTTGGAGGGTGGCAGTACCAGCTGGTGGGGTTGGAGTGCATTTGTCAGCACTTGGGGATGCCCTTGCCCCAAGGTGGAGCAGCAGATTTTTATAGAGAATTGAAACTGTGGTTCTGTGAGGTCAGGAAGGGCTTATTTTTACAAATGCGTTGGGGTTGCTGGGTGAGGAATGTAGGTCACCTTTTTCTGGCCCTAAAACAGCTCCTGGGTGCTTTGATATAGCCCTAAACCCAGCACAAGATCGTGGGTGTGTTCTCCAGCCCTGCTTTTTATTTACTGACAGGGAGAGGAAATCCAGTCCTTTTCACACTGTGGGTTAGGAATTACCTGTCTGTCCTGGTTGGGACCATCCCAAAGCAATGCTCCCTAGTCAGGGGACACTGACTTGGCACCAGATGTGCTGGGATAGAGTGGGCTGAGGCCATTTAAGTGCAAAATGGCCAGGGAAGATGTGAAATAGTAATAAGTGATGCCTGCAGTATCAGCTGGGATCTCCAGCAGTGCCCTGGGGTAGAAAATTGGCCCTGACAGGGCTGGCTGGTTCCAGCTGGCATGGAGAACCCTCCTGCCTGCCAGCTTCTCTCTCTGCTGCTTTACCTTGGAGAGGTGGGCAGGGAGTGCTGGGCTAGAACATCCTTTCCCAGGCAGATTGGGTATCTCCAGTGGGAGATTTGCAGCTCCTCCCAGCTCTGCAGCCCCTGCTTGGGGCTGGAGAAGAGTTTTCACTGCACTGTCCCCACCTCGAGCAGCTTTGAGCTGCAGGTTCAAGTTTGCTGCTCCAGCTCTTAGAAAGGAAGGGCCTCCAAGGTGTCTCCCTGCAAGCACTGAGGTTTGAAAGATGCTGATCTGCTTAGTTTTATTCTTATTTTTGCCTCCTCCCCTTCCAGCCTGTCCCTCCCTTCCTCCCTCCCTCCTCGACCCACACCCCCTTAAAGAGGAAATTCGATAATGTCAACAGTTAATGGTGGGGATGGGAACTCCTGGTAGCTGAGGACTTCCTGCATTTTGCTCGTTCTGCTTTGAGTAACAGTGATGAGGAACCACAGCCATGGCAACTCCTGGAAAATGTCCCTTCCCAGATTAACTGCCTGACACCAGCATCTGGGGGACTCTGAGCCATCTCAGAGCCACATGGAAGTGATGCCCTGGTGGATGAAACACGTGGATGGGCCAGCAAAAATTGGCTTTGAAACCAGGATAGGTTCAAGTAGCCATTAAGAGGAGTGGAGATGGCAGCATCTTTCCCCAGATGTGGCTGAACCCTGCTTGCCAGAGCTCAGAGCAGGCAGTGTGGTCTCTGCTGCTGCTCAGCAGGGAAAGGGAAGAGGGAAGGGCTGCTGCAAAGCTTTCTCCTCCCAGGGGGATATTTTATCCTGAAGATGACACCTGGATATGCGTCTGGGGGCAGTGAAAAAGCCAGGTGCTCCAGGGAAAGCCCAGATTTTGGCTAGCCTGCTCCCAGCAGTCTGAAAGTGGGCTCTCTTACTGCTGCAGGTGTGGCTTAAGGTCATATAGAGCCACCCCACTGAACATAGAATGAGGCTCGTGGCCGTCTCTGATTGCATCCCTGTTTTTATTTCCTTCTCTTTGGTTCTTCTGGACATGAAATTTAGTCACTGAGGTACAACTGGACCCCTGTGCATGGGCAGTGTAGCAGAGTAGCACAAACTCGGGGGTGTGCAGGCAGGTCAGCCTGAGCCATGTGAATCTGGAGTGTTCCTCTTCCCAGTGCACAGTGCCATTGGAAGGCACAGTTGCCCGTGTGAAGATCCCTCTCAGAAAAGCCATTGCATTTCTTTCCTCCCCTGCTGCCCCTAACTGTTGTCCCGGTGTCTTGCAGGCACAGAAGAGTGAGGCAGGATGGATGTGTACGACCCTCAGACGCTGGGTGTTATGGTCTTTGGAGGCTTCATGGTGATCTCAGCCATCGGGATCTTCCTGGTGTCCACCTTCTCCATGAAGGAGACGTCTTACGAGGAAGCCTTGGCCAAGCAACGCAAGGAGCTTGAGAAGACCCAGCAGCAGAAATTGGAGAAAAAGAAGAAAGAGAAACCGGTTGAGAAGAAAGGGAAAGCGAAGAAAAAGGAAGAGAAACCGAATGGAAAGATCCCAGAGCAGCAGCTTACTCAGGAAGTGACAGACCCTCCCAAGGAGGTGGCTCCTGAGCCTGCTGTGGTGCCCGAGCCTGTGGCAGTTGAGACTCCAATTGCAGCGGTGGCAGTTGTCCCCCAGGAAAAGGAGAAACCCATTCCGTCACCTAAGGAGAAGAGGAAGAAGGAGAAGAAGGTGGCAAAGGTAGAGCCAGCTCCTAGCCCGGTGTTGGCTCCACCCCCTGTCAGCGTGCCCAAAAGTTCTCCCGTCCGGGAGGTGGCTCCTAAGGAGGTGCCCGTTGTGGCAGTGCCCCCAGTTGGCACTCAGCAAAGCGCTCCGGTCATCAGCTCTGTCACTGTCAAGAAAAGCGAGGCTCTCCAAGCCCAGGAGGACCAGAAGCATGATGGACCTGCCAAGAAGAAGGCTGCATCCAAGAAGAAGAGCGAGCCAGGTGAGGCCAAATTCCTCTGCCTGTATCCCTTTGGTCCAGCACGGGTGTTGGAGAGTTTCAGGTTCCTCTGGGCTTTGTGTTGTGGGCTCTGCAGGTGGGAGTGAATGAGAGCTGCGTGTCCCTGTCCTGGGACAGGGACAGCTGCCAAGGTGCTGCACATCTGGGTGGGAAGCCAGGATGAGGTGTTTTCCCATAGAACCCTGACTGTTAAAAGTACAGAGGAGCTCTCCCACACTTCTCAGTGGAGCTGGGTCACTGCTAGTGTTTCCTCCTCCTGTGGTGGAGGTGAAGAAGGATGCTTCAAGCAGAGAGGATTGATGGAGTTTCAGACTGCAGGGGATTGATTGTAGAGTAATTAGAGGGAAGTGACTTTGGTTCTCCCACAGGGAAGGGAAAACTTACCCATCATCAGTCGTGCCTTACTTGTTTGACTCAGAGATGGAAAAGATCAGGTGGTCCTGAGCTCTGCAGGGTATAAAAAAGGTGTAGGGAGGGGAAAATCAGCTCTCTTGCTGGATTCTTGCCTCTCATTGTACCAGTGGGAACAGTTTGGGATTTATTTTTGGTTAAGTGATAATTACAGGCACTAAAAATGTGAGTGCTTTCAGACCTGTGGAAGGGTTCCCTTGTGGACACATGGCAGAAATCTCTCAGGTGTTCTCAAAGATGTCATGTGATGTGCATAGATTTCTTTCTTTCTTTAGCAAAAAAAACCCCAACCCACCAAACTAAAAGATAGCCCTTCTTGCTGCCCTTCTGCAGCACATCCAAACCTGCTGTGCAGCCTGGCCGTTTCCACACCCACATTTTGGAAAAGGCCCTGCTACTCAGCAGGGCATTTGCAGCTGCTGGGTTTCAAAGATGGGTTAAACCCCTTGAATCTGGTTTTCTGAGCGAAGGATTTTACTAAAGACCATCTCCACATGGTGATGGGGTTTGGAATGACTGGAGAAGCTGCTCCTGGAGGTTATTGCAGGGGTGGTGGGCTTGGGGAAACTGGAGGTGACTGGTTTGTTGTGTGCACCCATGTGAAAAACACACAAATCCAAGCTGTAACAGCTGCGGGAATGTGGCTGGGAGATGGCCTTTCAGCATTTGTTAAGTTGGGAGGTTTTTGGGTGCTCCAAACTTAGATTCCCTTGGGTATGAATTGCCAGTCCTGCATGTCCTGAAAGTGAAGAGTGATGTCTTAGCTGCTCCTGTGGGATTCTGCAAAGGAAAGCTCTTGGTAGGATTTGTGCCATGAAGCCAACTGGAGTTTGACCAACGTGTTTTCAGCAGCTGTGGTCTCTCCTCCTCAAATGCAAAGAAACAAATTATTCTGTGGCAGATAAAAATGGGTGTTCAGGGTGTTCCAGGACACGTCCTCAGCAGTGAAGCAGATGGCAAACCTGACAGGAATGGCTTGGGGTATTTTTCTCCTGCGACTCCACCTGGAGAGAGGCGGAATTCCGTTCGGTGTGTCCCTGCACGCAGCAGGCTGAGCCAGGGGATGCCATGTGCTATCCTGCAGCCCTGCAGTTGCCAGCATGAGTAAAGTGTGAGCCAAGCCCTGGTGGCACAAGGGGGTGGAGCTGCTGGGAAGTGGCTGTGGCTGGGGACGCAGACACGGCTGCTGGCAGGGCTTGGCGCTGCCGTTCCAAATGGATCTACCAGAGATCGCTTAGCAGTTACTGTCACTGGCCAGACAGACTCGACTTGGGAAAACTAATTTATTCCCCATTAAAATAGATGAGAAACAGATTTTTTTTTAGAAGTGAAAACAATGCCTTCCCCCCTGCAGCGCTTATTCCCAGGCTCAACTTCACTCCTTTGCTCCTGACTCCTCTGCCTCCCATCCCTGAGTGGTGCAGGAGGATGGGGACAGTTTGTTACAGCCACCCTCTGCAAGATCTTTCCTCCTCACACCTTTCCCCTGCTCCAGTGTGGGGCCTTCCATGGGCTGCAGTCCTTGGGAGGAGCCTTGTCCAGCATGGGGTCCATTCTCTAGGGGAGAATCTCTGCTCCAGCACCTGCAGCACCTCCTCCTCCTTCTTTGAACCTTGCTGCTTGGAGCATCCAAAGCTTTGTATTCAAGAGACTCTGGTGTTAATGACTTCAGGGGTTCTGGAGCTACTGGACTCCAAACTGCTTTTCCTTCTGTGGTTTTCTAGGAAGAGGAGCCCACAGGGCCATAGATACACGCAGGAACCCCTAAACCACTGCCTCTGTGTATCGTGACCATGTGCACTGAGGTCCTACAACAGCATCATGGTCCTTGATGCCCCCTGGCTTTCCCAGGTTAGCAGGGGAAGGGTTGGAGTCATGTTGTCCCTTAGCAAAGAGCTGGAACAAACTTGGCTGGTGAAAGGTGGGAGATGACCTTGCTGTGACTGGCACCACTGCATGGAGTGACATCCTTCAGCAAGGTTGTGTTTTGGCATGGTCCAGCTTCTGGTGCCTGACATGTCTGAGCCCCCTGGCATTGGCAAAGCACTCCCAGCTCCTGCTGAGAGTCTCTCCATTTGGTAGAGGGTGATGGCAGGTGCTGGGACCAGTTGTTGGGCCAGGCAGAGGTGACAGCTGACTCAAGGAGCATGTGTGTGGTGTCATCTCCAGCACTTTTCTTACTATTCTCATTCAGAGAAGTACCAAATGTGACTCTGGAAATCAGGGTAGATGATGGTTTGAGAGGGCAGCTGTGGGCTTGAAGCCAGCTGAGATGATACAATATTTCTGCTGCTGTCCCCAGAAGTCCTAATCCCTCCTCTCTCCTCCCTAGCACCTACAGATTCGGATGGGGCCCTGTACCTGCCCTACAAGACACTGGTGTCCACAGTCAGCAGCATGGTGTTCAGTGAGGGGGAGGCCCAGCAGCTCATCGAGATCCTGACGGAGAAAGCAGGAATCATCCAGGACACCTGGCACACGGTAGGGCTCTGCTGAGCTCAGGAAGTGCAAGGGGAGGAAAGGCACCCCATTTTCAGGCAGGCTGGCCCTGAGGGTGTCTGGGAGAACAGAGCTGATTTTTCCCCTGGAGCAGAGGGCAGGATGTCGTGTGTGTGGGGTGGAGGGGATGGCTCTGAAGGTGGTGGTCCCCACTGATGTGCCACCCCGTGCTGGCAGGCCACGCAGAAGGGTGACCCGGTTGCTGTCCTGAAACGCCAGCTGGAGGAGAAGGAGAAGCAGCTCTCTGCTGAGCAGGAGGATGCAGCTGCTGCCAGGAACAAACTGCGGGAGCTGAGCAAGGTAAGTCCTGGGTGGCCCTCCTGGCATCCCCGGTGTGGCCTCTGCTCATGGTGGCTCTCCATGTGCCTCCTGCTCCCCACATCTCAGCCCCCTGTGGGGCTCTTTGGACCCTTCAGCTGTTGGCTGTTTTCTTCCCAGAAAGCAGAGGAGATTCCCCCCCGTCCTCCTCTCTTGGGCCTGCTCCAGTTTGGAGAGGTGCCAGCCAAAAGAACCACAGGGTAGTGCCCATTGGCAGCCATGGGAGAAGCAGGGGAAAACCCTTTCTGTGAGACATTGCAGCTTTCTTCTCCTTCAGGGAGAAAAGCAAATCCTTCCTCGTTTCAGCTCCCCTGAGCTGAGATGGTGCCTTTGTAAGGAACCTGATGCTATTTACTGTGCCCTTCTCCGACTCAGCCCCCTGCCCCCACCTCTTTTTGGGTGTTGAAGGCAGAACAGATCCCTGCCACGCTGAACTTGTGGCTGTCAAGTCCATCTGCTTAATTTTCCTGCTTTGCCCCAAATGTTGTGTGATGTTATTTATCCTGGGGGAGGAAAATAAAATTCCAGGCTGTCTTACTCCTTTCTCTTAGCTGGCCCAACATGGAACAACAGTGGCATCCAGTGGCCACAGAGCCCAAAACAAAATGCAGGAGGAAATGTAAGTGCTAAACGTACCTGGGCGTGGGGGCAGCAATGAAAGGGCTAAACTTTGTAGTCTGCTGAGCTAGGAGACCACATCCTCTTAAAACGGGGAGACTTGTGCTCTGAGGACTAACTGGGAGCCTCCTTTCCTGGCAGGAGCTGGCAGCCGAGCGGGCCAAGGCGGTGGCCGTGGAGGGCAAGCTGAAGGAGCAGCTGCTGGCCCGCGAGCGGGAGATCGTGGCGGTGCAGGCGCGGATGCAGGCCAGCTACCAGGACCATGTCAGCGAGACCCAGCAGCTCCAGGGCAAGGTGAGCCCTAGGCTGTGCTCTGCACCTGCCTCTTTCCTCTGCCAGGTGGCTGCTGGTGGCACATGTGTGACATTCTGGAGAAGGCTCAGCCGTGGGAGGGGGCCAGAGCCTCGGGAAGGTGCGAGACCCTGCGGTGCTCCTGAGCCATGGTGCTGAATTTCCCCCCAAAACCCCTTTAAGGCCCCCCTAAACATCCCTTAAACTCTCCCAAATCCCTTCCCAAACTCCTTCAGGTACCCCCACACCCCTCTAAGACCCACTTAATAACCCCAAAACTCCCCAAATACCCCCCCAATCCCTTAAGCCCCCTCCAAACCTATTTGGAGAAGAGGCACATTGGAGCATCTTCACGGGATGTCACACCCCTGAGGGCTGTCAGCATCAGCACAGACTCTCCTGCATCGCCAGTGCCTCCTGCTCATCTCCTGGGCTTTGACAGGGGCAGCAGAAGGGCTGGTGGTGGCATTAACCCCTTGTTGGGCTCCTCTAGATCCGGACCCTGCAGGAACAGCTGGAGAACGGCCCCAACACGCAGCTGGCTCGCCTGCAGCAGGAGAACTCCATCCTGAGGGATGCCCTCAACCAGGCCACCAGCCAGATGGAAAGCAAGTAAGGCTGGGAGGAGGGGCAGAGCCTGGGGCTGCCCTCTGGCAGACCTTGGCTTGACCACCCCCTTTCCCAAAGGTACTTTTGCAGACACCCCAGCTAGCTGGAGGTGGAGGAGGGAATGAGGGAGAAAGAGCTTGCCAAATGGCTTTTGGGGGTACACCAGGAGAAACAAGGGTGTTCTTCCCAAGTGAAAGGGCAGGGAATCCCTCTCTCCTTTGAGGTCACCTGTGCTGATGCCACATCCAACAGGCAGTGGAGGGGGGAGAGGGCATCAGAAGGCACTGTGGTGTTTTTCCCCCATAGGGGAGCTCATACTCTCAAACTTGAGAAGAAATGCAGCCAGCTCATTGATGGGAGTGATGCTGCAGAGAACAGAACAAATAGGAGCTAGGTAGAAGAATTTCACACTCCTTTTTATAGACAGTCTGAAATGACTGGTGATTAACAGCAGGCAAATAATTACAGAGTGGAGTCCAGCTGTAGTGCTTCCTCTTGTGTCTGGGAACACAGATCCATGTGTCCTCTACTTCATAAGAAAGGAATGTCTCCTGTGACTGAAACAGGACTTCTAAAAAGTGATTTGTTGGCTCTTTCCACCCCCTCCCTGAAGGACCAGGAGTGTCCTAGAAACAGGCAAACAAAGTTCACCATTTCAAGTCCTGTATCAGGCCCACAGGAGGATGTGTTTCCCCCGACCAGCACCAGGGAGGCTTGGCCGGCCTGTGAGCTGAAATAACCCTGCTTCTGTTGCTGCAGGCAAAATGCTGAGCTGGCCAAGTTGAGGCAGGAGTGCAGCAAGCTGATGAAAGAGCTGTCTGAGAAGTCAGAGGTGCTGCAGCAAGAGGAGCAGCAGAGGAAGAGCTGGGAGATCAAAGCGACGGCCTCGGAGAAGCGAATCGAGCAGCTGCAGGTCAGGCAGGCACTGGCAAACCCTCTCCCCTAGCAGAGCTGGGTGCTGAATGGCAGGGGATCCATGCACTTGGCCATGGGAAGGGCTAGGAGGGACATGAATGTCCATGGTTGGGAGGAAGCTGCCTGGCAGGCTTGCTAATTTCTCTCCAGCTTGTCACATTCCCTGTGCCCCTTGTGCAGCATCACCATCAGAGCCCAGGGAGCAGGATGCCCTGGTTGAAGGCATTCTTCTGCAGATGCTCTTCTCTCTCAAACTCAGATGGTTTTTAAGCTTGTTGCTCTGTCTCCCTGCTGTAGGAGATGGAGCTTGTGGCTTCTTTGGTTGCCTGCAGGGAGTGGCTGGGTTTGGGGTTTTAGGGGTGTTGAAAGGACACCTCCCAAGGAGAGCTTCTGACACACAGAGGTGTGTTGCTGGCAGGCAGGCTGTACTCACGCAGGAAAGAGCATCTTCTTGGATGTTGACAGTGCTCCTGCTGGGATCCTGCTGGGATGTTGCTAAGCTGTGTGCTGGGAGCATTAATCCCGGTGTAGCAGACAGGGTGAGGGATGTCTCTGAATTGCTCTGGCCTCTTCAGGAAGCAGCTGTGGTGGAAGAGACCTTTATCTGCACATACCAAAATAGTTTTGTAGAGGAATTCCTAGAGCAAGGGGCCTTCCATATCCTTGCTTTTAATTTTTTGTGTGCCTGAGGATGTAGCTCTCATTTTGGTGGGCTGCATTTGGCTCCTGCTGCTTTTGCAGGTGAGGGGCAAGGAGGGTGATGTGAGCTCACAGCTGGTGTGAAGGCAGGAGCTGCCTCTCTGACTCAAAGCAGGAGCTCCTAGACATGCTTTTAGGAGAACTCCAGGGCTGTCAGCTCACTGCACACCTTAATGCTAATTAAATAAATCACACTAAAGTCAGGGATGTGCTTAAGGTGCTAGGGAGAATGTGTTCCACAGTAACACCTGGAGCTCTGAGCTGAGGATATTGAGTCAAAACCTCAAAAACCAGAGTGGCTCTGCTTTCCTGGTGGTGCTGAAAGCATCCCTTGGGCAGAGACAGGCCTGCTGGTTTACCTTTTCCTGTCCCCTCCATGCAAAGCAATTTTTCTCCCTCTGCAAGAATGACACTTTTACCTGTAAAGCTGCAACTCATCCTCCTCCTCCTTTGCCTTCCCCCTCAGAACGCCTGCCTTTGCCAGCCTCTTCCTTGCTGCTTTCCATGATGGAAAATAAAAAGTATTCCCTGGCCCAAACTGCACAGACAGTTCCTCCTCCTGTGGAAACGTGGTTGGGTGTCTGTGTTCTGCAGAGCCCCGTGCCAGCACCTCTCCCTGCTGGGCTGGGGCAGTTTGAACCGGGGCTCTGGGAGATTTTTCAGAGCTCTCCAGAGGAGAGGTTGGCCATGGAATTGGCCCAGGACCGAGGCATTTGGGTATTGTCTACTTCCCAATGTGAGGGCTGGCACGGGATAAAGTGTGAGCACAACATGGGGTGCTTCATGTGCAGGGGGAGCTTGGCGGGAGGATGACTTTAATCCCCCGAAACACAGCTTAAAAATAAGGTCATGTGACACATGAAGCTTTGCTTCAAACTGTCTGGGATGTCTGTCAGGCTCCAGGAAACCTTCTCTTCCTGCCCTGCAGGCTTACCAACGGGAGGCAGAGGTGATGCTGCAGAAGAGGCTGGATGAGGTCAGCGACGAGCTCCGCAAAACCCAGAGCAGCTACAAGAGCCTGTTGGCAGATGCAGAAAAGACCAAAGGGCAGCAGCAGAGCATTGCTGGTGAGGAACTGGGATCAGCATGGTGAGGGCTCCAGGGCAGACATGAGACTTTGAGAGCTTGGAGGAACCAGTTGGGGCAGGACAAAGAGATCCAGGGATGAGTTAGGCTGCCTGGTGTTGCTGTGAGCAAGACATGGGCTGGTCCGTGGTTCTGTCCCAGGGTGTTACTCCAAGGCCTCTCTCCCATGCTGGCCTGCATCCCTGCCTTCCCTTTCTGTGCCTCCTCAAAGCATCCTTGGCCAAGGAAGGCTTCTTTGGCTAAGATCCTGCGTGGACAGAGCAGGGTGGGGAGTCTCCAGGTTTGTTTGCACCTGCCCTACTGTGTTTGTCACCCTTCCCTCCACCAGAGCTGCAGGCCAAGCTGCTGAGCTCCGAGGCAGAGGTTAAAAGTAAGCTGCTGGAGTTGGACAGTGTGAAAGGGAAACTGCAGGATGCCAGCTCGGAGAATGCAAAGCTTCTGGAGAGGATCAAGTCCATCGAAGCTCTGCTGGAGGCGGGCCAGATGCGGGAGGCAGAAAAAGACAGAGACCTGCAGGTTGTGTGCTCGTTTAATTGGGCTGGGAGGAGGGCAGTGGGTGACACTGCTTACACAATCCCCGAGTTTTCCTTGCTCTGGGATCCTCTCTGGGATGCCACAGGAAGGGCTGACCTGTATCACATGCCTGGGGCAGGTCATCAAAGTGCTTTTTTTCTTCCAGGCAGCCAATGAAGCAGAAATGAAGCAGCTGCAGTCAAGGTGGGTCCAGGTGCACATCTTGCAGTGCCACCTCCAGCTTGCCGTCCATGTGTCCCAGGCTTCCTTGAGCACTGAGCCTGTGGCTGAGGGCTTCTTGCCTTCTAGGCAAGCTTGGGGCTGTCCAGCTGGGAAGTCAAGGTTAATCCTGGCCAACAGTGTTGTTTAAAATAATGATTGGCTCTGGTGCTGGCCCCATATGAGAGCCAGTCCATTCTGAAGTAGGACTGAGTTGCTGGCAGGCACATGGAGTCTGACCACTCCTACAGAACAGGAGGTTCTGCTGCTGTTGGTGCTGGGTGTGGGATGTCTCTGGTGCAAGTCCCTGCTCAAGTCTGGGCCAGCCAGAGGAAGTTTTTTAAAGATATTCCAGGTATCTCCAGGGATGGAGATTCACCACCACTCTGGGTTCCTATTCCAGTGTTTGATAACCTCTTTCCCCACCCCCTAGCACAGAAAGGTTTCCTGGCATTTAACTGGAGTTTCCCATGTCATGAATCCCGCCTATTATTCCTTGTCCATGTGCTGGGCACCTCCAAGAAGGCTCTGCATGGGGGGAAGATTTCTCAGATACCCCCACTGCTAGCAAGCATCCAGCATCCCTCTAAAGTCAGCTGTTGAGTTGTCCTGAGACCCCAGGAGACTTGTGTAGTTCTTCTCAAGGACCTGAACCTTGGTTTGCTCAAACTGAGGGTCCCTTCAGGGCAGACGGGGGATCTGAGGGTGTGGAGGGAACCTGCAGCTTTCTGCTGTCTGGTTGGCAGCCCTGATTTAGGGTTACTCAAGACAGTGGGATGATACTTTCAAAATGCAGAGCTGTGGACTCTCTCAGCCTAATGAGCCATGGATGGGAGCAGCCCCAGTTGTGCAAGCCAGAATTCCTGGCCTTTGCATCAGGTTGCTTCTTCCTCTTTTTGTGTGTGTACAGCCAGCCAGTTAAGTGATTGCTTTTTATTGCTGGTAAGGGGGTAGAAAACCAGATCCCACTCCAGCATTGCCATGGCTGTGGTTTTTAGTCCTGCTCCCTCTTCCTCCTGCTGTGTGTAGATCCCAGAGCAGACCAGGATAGGAAGGGCTGTGTCTCCATCTCGGGAGCTTGCTGCCCGTGAGGGAGGTGACTGCTCAGGCTCACTCCTGCATCCTGCCCTTCCAGACTCCAGGAGAAGACAAACCAGCTCTCAGCCTTGGAAAGGGAAGCCACACAGCTGCGGGAGGCAGTGGAGCAACAGAAGGTGAAAAACAACGTGAGTGAGTGACAGACAACCCATCATGGTCACCTACTTATGGCTCCAGGGTGTGGCCAGAGGCTCTTCCAGCCCCATGGAGCCCTGGAGGGGCTCATCTACCAGAGAGCAGGAATACCTCAGGGCTGCCTGAGGTGACATGTCTGTCCCTTGTTCTCTTGGAAGGTTTAGGACCTGGTAAGCCAGAGAGATCCTACCCTGGTAGGGCCAAGGCAATCTCTGAGAAGGCTCCTTCACACTTCCTGCTCCTCTGCTCCTTATCCCTCTACTGCAAGGTGGTGTCACTTGTGTGGAGGCCGCCTTGCATCCCTGCACTTGGCCTGTGTCCTCTGCAGGCATCCTGAGCTTGCTTCTGGAGCTCCTGTCCCATCCAGGGCACTGCCAGAGCAGTGGGGTGTGTGGAGCCACTGAAAAGACTGGGGAGACAGGAATGCTTATAGACATGGGATGGAAGACTCCTGACCAAACCCAGTTCCTTAAGCAGTGGCTTTGAAATCCCCTGCAGTGCCAGCAAGCAGCTTTGTGGCCCTTGGCACAGCGTGTGGCTTATTGCCCTCTCTGTGTGGTCTCCACAGGACCTTCGGGAAAAGAACTGGAAGGCGATGGAAGCGCTGACCACGGTGGAGAAGGCGTGTGAGGAAAAACTGCTTGCTGCTACGAAAGCAAAGGTGAGGCTGGCATTGCCCTGGTGTTGGAAGGGAACATTCAGCTTTCCCAAGCCACCAGGGAGGCCTGCCCTGGGTTGCCTGCCTGCTTAGGAAGAGTGCTGGCCCAACTCTTCTGCAAGCTTCTCCAAAATTTTTCTTGAGGGCAGTGCGTCCCTGGTACTGGTCATGGCTGGGGAAGCAGGGACATGGTTGAACTGGAAGCGATGCTTTTGTGGTTCCCAGCACCAGCAGTTTTCTGTGTTGGCTGGTTTCCCCAGCCCTGTAGGCACAGAAAGGCAGGACCAGTGTTGTCAGCCTGGCCAGCAGGTGCCAAAGACCTCCATCCATTGCAGTTTGTCCCTCTTTCAGGAAGAGCTGGCCCAACAGCTGGACGCGCTCCAGACACAAACCAAGCAGACGCTGCTCTCCGCCCTCCCGGGAGTCACCGTGTCCTCACAGCAGGTGGGACAGGCTTCCTCAGACCTCCCCAGAGCCTCTCCACGTGGGAAGGAGAGAGATCTAAGCATCCTCCTTCTTTCTTGTTCTCTTTTATTCCAAACTCAGGATTATGACACGTGGCTACAGGAGTTTAAGGAGAAGACCGTGGGTGTGCTAAAGCAGCAGATGGTCACAACAGAGCCACCAGTAAGTGATGGCTGGAAAGTGGAGGGGTGAGGGTGTGCTGGAGGGTCACATGTTCCATCTTTTCATCTCTCCCTCCTTTCTTTCCCTCTCGTTTTAGGATTCAGCTCTTAAATTAAAAGAGGCAGAGGAAGCGCAAAGCACTTTACAGGCAGAGTGTGAGCAGTACAGAACGATCCTCGCAGAGACCGTAAGTTCCTGCCCTTTGCACTGTGTTGGTTTCCCACTGGAAACCCCTCTGGAGCGGTCTCCTGTCAGCCCAGGCTGCCCATGAGCTGAGGGTGGGCATCCCTTGCTGTGTTGGGGGAGCTGCTTTGTGGTAGTGTTTGTCAGTGAGACACAGGAACAGGATAAAGGTGAATTTCTAGAGCTCTTTTTCAGCCTAATTGTGTTGGAAACCTTGCTGTTGGTGATGGAATGAGACACAGCAAGGGCTCTGATGAACAGGGTGGTCGAGCCAGAATAGGGATTAGGAGCCCCCAGCCCCACCTGATTCTAATTCTGTCACCTTTGTTTGGCCCAAATCCCTGGAGAGGCTTTTGAGGCTTCCAACCCTTGCACTGCTCAGCCTGCTGGGGGTTTGGGCTCAGCTGAGGCTTTGCCCACAGGAGGGGATGCTGCGAAACCTGCAGAAGAGCGTGGAGGAGGAGGAGCAGGTGTGGAAGGCAAAGCTCACAGCCTCTGAGGAGGAGCTCCAAAAGGTGGGTGTTGCTGACACAGCTGGGTTTGGTGCTCCTGCAGCTGGACTTCCAGGAGAAGGGGATCTGTTGGCTATAAATTGGTTTGTGGCCCTCAGCTGTGAACACTGAGACCTAGGAACTTCCTTTTCTCCCCAAATCTACTCCTCCTGTCACCAAGCCAGCTGACAAAAAGCCCACCTCATGTAGAATCTTCCCTCCTGAATGCAGAACTGAGATGGAGCTGTTTTCCATGGTCTGGCTGCTCCCCATCCATCACGTGGGGCTTTGGAGTTCACTGGCACTGCAGGGAGGTGGGGGAAGCTGTTGTTCAAGAGATGTTTGGTTTGTCAGCCCACTGCTGGCTCCTGCAGCGCCAGCACTGCTGAGGGCTGGTGTGGGATTGCACAGGGTGACGTGGCTGCTGCTGGTGTTCCTGATGGGAAGAACGTCTGGTGCCTAGGGCAGCTCCCAGAGCAATCCTGCCTCTCAGTGGAGAGGAGGTGAATTCCTCCTTTCAAAAACTTCAGCATCTTCAGAGTCCTCTTCAAAAACCAGCCTGTGTTTAAGTGCTTTTTCTGGCAACTTGGCCTCTCTTAATAACGAAGTCCATGCCACGTCATTGGAAAATTGCTGCTTCCAGAACAAAAAGTGCTTTCAGCAGGAAGCTTGTGCCGAGTCTCATGATGGTTTCTCGGGTGTTGAAACCTGACTGCAGCCACCTGAAATGCTGCAGACAGCAGCTGTTGCCTTGCTCCACCATTTATGACCTGTGTGTGTTAGCCTTGTCCTCCCTGGGAAGGAGAGCTCTTCCCTGGAGCTCCCCTTGGATGGGTACAGGATGAAGTGGGAAGGGTGGGAGTCAAACAGCAGCCAGTTTTTGATTGCTCAGTGTCCTTCTCTGATCCTTTCTGCTTCAGTCACACCTGCAGCTGAAATCCCTGGAAGGCATGGTGGAGAAGTTGAAAGCAGATGTGCAGAGCACAGATCAGGTGAGGATTTTTGGGGAGGGGAGGTCTCTGCACGGGTGCCAGAGAGGCGCACGCTGTGCTTGGGTTGAGTCAGGCCCCATCTCCTGACTTGCCTTGGGGAGGGCAGGCTTTAGCCATAGGGTGTTTGGACCTCACACATTCAACCCCCTCCTGCTTTCCTCTCTTTTAATGCAGCTAAAGGAATACACCTCTCTTCTGGAAACACAACTGGAAAATCACTTGGAGACAGCCAGCTCCGAGCGCCAGAACTACACAAAAGAAGTTGAAGCTGTAAGTGTGGAGGCTGCTGCCTTCTTCAGCTTTTTCTAACCCTGACTCCCCTCCCATGCACGTTTTGAGGATTTGGGAAGTGCCCCAGGGATCTGCAGCTTTGCAAAGAAAGAGGAAAACAGATGGAGCTGGTTGCTCCAGTCTGGGTTGTAGGCTCCTAAAGCCAAGAATCGTGGGCAAGGTGAGGGGTCAGGGAGATCTCTGTGGAGGTGCTCTCTGCTGCTCCTGGGTGGCCTGTGTGGTTTCTGTGGCTCAAGTGAGACAGACCTGTCCCACGGCTGTATTTGCTTAAGCAGGCATCAGCAGGCACATCAGCATGTGATGACACCATGACCTCTTTGGGAAGATGTTGCTTCATAAAAAAACTTACTTGGGCCAGAGTTCCTAAACCAAGTGCATAAAAGGAGTTGGTTTTTTTTTTTTTTCTTTCTTTTCCTCCTTGGCAGTTGAGGCAGCTCTTGTCAGAGTCCCAGGAGCAGCTGGAGGCAGCAAAGACTGAAACGCAGAAGCAGAGCAAGGAGCTGGCCCTGGTAAGGAGGGACCCTGGGAACGCCCTGCTGGGTCCTTGGGGCTGGTTTGCAAAGCAGCTGTGGGGCCAGCACCCTTCCTGTGGGCTGAGGGAGGGCAGGAAGGCACAGCCTTTGATGGGCTAGCCTGGTGCTGCTGGGGACCACACGTTCAGAGGCGATTGCTGGGACCCAGGAGGAGATTTTTATTTGCTTGTCTTTCCTCCTGTGATGGGGTGGGAAGGAAAGGAGAGCAGCAAGGCTTGCTCAAGCTGGTGTGTAGAAGAAAAACCCAGCTGCCCCACCACTGGACACTTGTCAGCACAACACCACCCTGAGGCAGGGGTTTGGGTATCCATCCATCCATCCATCCATCCATCCATCCATCCATCCATCCATCTCTGAGCAGATAAGATAGAATCATTTGCTCTGCACCCCTGGGAGCTGTTGAGCCTGCAGCTGCCCAGGTCAGATACCACTGTCCTGCTCTGGCAGAAACTGAGTGGTTTCCCAAGCATTCCAGCTTGTGTCCAAGCCAAAAAGTTGGCAGGCTCTCTGTAGGCCCCTGTGGCTCGTGGGAAGGCTGTGGCACAGGGATGTGTCACTGAGCCAGGCTTGCTGCTCATCCCTCAGGTCAGGCAGCAGCTGAGTGAGGCAAAGAGCCATGTACAGGAGGGAGGAGTAGTGGGGTTACAAGCTGAGCCAAGTGCAGCCCTCAAGGTTAGGGTGCTGAGGCCACTGGGGAGGCTCTGACCCTTAACCATGTCCCATGTCCTGTGTCACCATCACTCACCACATGGAGAACTGCACACAACTCTGCTCAGGGCTGTCTCAGCTGTGCTGTGTCCCGTCCTGTGCTGGGGAGCAGCCAGCCCAGCACCCCCTGTTGGAATCCTGGATGCTGAGAATGCATTAACCATGTGTCCTTTCCCATAGCAGTTGGCTTTCACCAGGCTGTTCCCCTTGGGAGCCCTCTGGCAAGCCTTGGGGGATGCAGGCAGGACATGCTGCGAGCCCTTGGGCCAGCACTGCCATGTGACAGTGCCCTGTGGGGTTCAGAGTCTCCTCAGAGGAAGGGGACAACACCCTGACAGAGCTGTGCCGGGATCCCTTCCCAGCCAGGGAGGATTAGGATTACAGAGGCTCCATAAATGCTGCTGCAGCTGGGCTGAGGGCATTAGCAGCAGCTGTTCCCTTGCAGGCTGACACCTCTGACCAGTGGCAGTGCTCTGTCTTTCTCCTTTAATCCTGTTAACTGTGGAGCCTTCTCCCAGTCATGGGGGCCTGCCAGGCACATCTTTCTCTATGGGATGCCTCTCATCCCACACCCCAGCTGGTGAGCAAACAAAATTGGGCAGTGCTGAGCCAGGCCCCAGCCTTGCCATCAGCAATCTCCCTGCAGAGGGGGGATGCTTGTACGTATTGCCCTGCGGTGCTGTGGGGAAAGCTTCTGTTTTTATTTCTTCTGTCCAGCCCAGCTCTCTTGAATCTTTTTAAAATGTTATTTCTGGGTGTTTTCCCCTCTTCTCAACACAGTTGAAAACCCAGCTGGAGCAGAACGAAACGCTGGCGGAGAAGGAGCAAATGCTGCGGCAAAAGCTGGCACGGGAGCTGGAGGAGGTGGGTGTGGGCGAGGAGGATGCCAGGGTCTGCAAAGCCCTCCTGGATTCTTGGCTGCTAATGAAGCCCAAGAATTAATTTGTAGAATTAATCTGAAGGCTTTTCCCCATCACTGTCCACACCTCAGACATCACTGCGAGACGTTCCCTCCCCCATCTGAAGGACTTCTACAGCAGCTGTGCTAAAGCCATGTGGCATCTCTGGCCACTCAAACTCAGCTCTCCCAATCCCCCCATGTCTTGTGCCAGCTTTTTCCTTGGAGGGTTACAAGCTTGAGGTGGGTTTCCTGCTGCTCCAAGTGAGAAATGCCATCTCCCTGGTGGAAGCAATGCCTTGTGTGCCTGTACCACACAAGTCCTGAGCAGGACACAGCCAGCGGGCACTCGGGGATGGCTGGAGCAGGATGTGTGGGAGATGCTGGCACCACTGGCTCTGTGCTCACTGAGTGTGTCCTTTCCAGGCCCAGAGCTTGGCATGCAGCTTGCAGGCAGAGCTGGAAAAGCTGAGACTGGCTGAACATGCAGCAGCTTCAGACAAGGAGGAGGCCCAGCATCTCAAGGTGAGTTGGCTGTGCCATGACAAAGTCACGAGCGAGCAGGACTGTGGGCACGATTTATCATTTCTGAGGATTGGGGAGCGAGGCCCATCCTATGGTTCCCCTGCAGGAGAGGGCTGAGAGCTCCAGTGGGGCTGAAGGACAGCAGGGCCACAGCCACTGCATCCCTGCAGGCTGAGATCAGTGTGATGCCCTCAGCAAACACTCACAGGCTGGGCTTTTTACACACTGGGAAACCATCCAGTCCTAGCCCACGGCATCTCCAGGGAGCCAGAGAGAGCTCTGGGGTGCCAGTTCTCCTTGTTGAGGTGGGAACTGGGTGTTCCCCTGGCCTGTGGTCACTGAGACAGCTTGATGTAGACCCGAGGTGGCCTGAGGTGTTTTGAAGGGGGGAAGGTCACCAGCTGGCAAAGGGAGGCTCAGGCAGGTGCCTTCTTTTGACTGCCATGTAGGAAAGACTTGAAAAAGAAAAAAAATTAACAAAGGACCTGGGCCAGGCAGCAACCAAACTACAGGAGCTACTGAAGGTTTCCCAGGACCAACTGGCCAAAGAGAGAGAAATGGTGAAGAAGTTGAAAGAACAGCTTCAGGAAATGGTACTGGTGGTGGCCATGTCCCTCCCCTTGATGCTGGTGGAGGTCCTGGGGCAGTGTGCAGCAGGCAGGGGTTTAATAGTGGAGGCAAGGTGGTCCTTGCTGCCAGAAACCATTTGGGTTGCTTTTGGGAAATGCTAAGACCACACGAGATGGTGGGCAAGGTCCTCCCTGCCCCACAGGCAGGACCTGGCCCATCTGTGACATGCTTTGGGCCTTGTGCTGCCATGGGAATAAGGATGAGGCTCAGCTGAGTAACCCACTTCTTTTTTTTGTTCTCCAGGGGAAAGAGGACAGTTCAAAGGAAGGGACTTCAGTCTGATGAGTCTTCACCTTGGACCTTACAGTTAACTTACCAAAATGCCTTACACATTCCTAAAAATAAAAAATTTATGCTAAATTTACTGTAGATAAAAGATACAAGCCATTAGTGACCCAAAACCTAGTTTTGAAACTTACAAGAAAACATAAAAAAAAAAAAATCCAAAAAACCAACCAGTAAACACTGCAGTTTGTAAGAAAATCTTCATACTGTTTTGTACAACTCTTCGTTTCCTGGGGAGCTGCTGTGGCCACGCTGGGCACACCCTGGGGCTTCACCTCCTGTTCCAGCAGAACTCACCAGTGTGTGAAAAGGGAAGACTGTGTTTGTACATCAACCAGTGCAATTATAATTATATATTTTTTCCTTTTTTTCTTTTCTTTTTTTCTTTTTTTTTTTTTTTTTGAGTGAAAGGAGTGTGAAAGTAAGACCCACCATGGAAGGATGCCCTCTCGGGTGGGTGACTCTTGGCACGTGTATTTCTGGGCGTCGATGCAATTAAAATGACGTAGTGAAGAGAGCTTGTTCTTGCTTTATTTTTCTTGGAGGTTTATTTGTGTTGGGTTTTTTAAGTTTGCAAGCCAGGTAGGGCTTTGGGGTCACTGAAGAAGGACTTTGCTTTGGCCAGGAACTGTATCACAGAAGCCATCAAAGGAGAGAAATTATTCGTTCCCACTGATGGTCGAGGGCTGGCCTCCCTGTGTGGGGTTTGGCAGAGGGATTGACACTTTTGCCATGGCAGTAGGGGCATGGTGGGGACAGGACCATTCCTCCTACTTGCTTTAAACCTTAGTGCTCCTCTGTAATCTGTCCCTGTGAGTGCTGTGGTGGTGGTGGCCCTTGGTCACTGTCAGGCTCTCTAGCCCTCTGCTATCCCTTCTTGTTGCTTTCCTTTTTTCTTTCTTTTTTTAACTGTTCTTTTATTATTCTTTTTTTTTCCTTTCTGTTTTATTTTCAAGCTGGTTTCTTAGGAAATGGCAGAGGCCACGTGACGGCTTGGTGCGTGTCTCCCCACAATAAAGCTGCTGAGCCCAGTGCTGACATCAGCAGGCTTTGAGAGAGGGGAGGAAAAAGGCCCCTGGGTCCCTCCAGTGCCTGCAAAGAGCCAAGGCCGGGAAGGAGGATGAGGGGCAGACCTGCTTCCATTTAGTTCCTGGGGAAGGCCAGCGTGTGACCAACCCCTGCACTGCACCCCTGAGACTCCTCAGGACTGGGACATCCTGTCCCTCCCTCAGCACTGTGGCTTTTGGGGCCATGATGAAAGGTGGGGGAGGGCTGTGTGTGACTCAGCCGGGACCAGGTAAGAAAAAGGGCCAAGAAAACGGGGAGCTGAGAGCCACCCCTGCCCCCACCCTTGTGTGTGTCCCCACTCCCTGTCCCAGCACAGGTGGCAGAGGGGGCTCTCTCCCCATCCTAGAGGGACAAACTCAGGAAGCAGACCTTTGCCCCACAGCCAGGGTTAGCCTGTGGTTTTATCTTCCTGGACTTTGTGGCACATGTAGAGGAACGGATGAATCAAGGGCCACTGGTGACGTGTCAGCACTGTCACCTGCCCCAGCCCAGCATGCCTGACCTGTTGGATGGGAGCTCCCCAAAAGCGAGGGAATGCCTGCCTTGTGTCAGGATTGCACAAAACCCCCACCCAACCCAGAGGCAGGAGGGAGCTGTGCAGCTTGGCAGGGTGGCGCTCACCCCAGGAGCCACGGGAGGAAGGGCCCCGCAGCCGCAGGTGCCGGGAAGTGACGCGGTTCCTTTGGTTTTGCAGTTTTTTTTTTTTGCTTTTGCAACAATTCTTTCCTTTATTGTGAGCTGCTGTGCACAGACAGCAGACAGCCAGGCCTGCCCACAGAAGCAGTAGGAGACCCCAGCACAGCCAGTGCAGGAAGGGCAGTCGGTGCTCCAAGGGCAGCACGGAGCAGGTTGGCTCCAGTGGGGCTCCAAAGGCTGCCCCAGAGCAGGTCCAGTGTCCCCAGCCCCAGGGCACACGATGCCCTTCTGGCACACAACACCCAGCTGGCTGTTCTAGGAACACAGCAAAGAACTGTTCTTGTGAAGCAAAGCAGAAATAAAATAACTCCTTTTGGGGAAAGACTTTTGGACTTTTTTACACCTGGAATGGTAATGTTGCCATGTTTTAATTCCCTTGGCACCTTGATGGAAGGGGAAGGACATCCTGAGGGGCCAGGAGAAAGCCACACCTTGCCCAAGAGCAGACGGAGCTGAGGCCTGGCCAGCCCCTGCTTTGCCCACAGCTGGTGGGATTTTGCCATATTCCCCCCCAGAGTCACCTCCTTTCCTCCAGGAGACACCCAGGCTTGGTGCTTGCCAAGCCATGACTCAGAGCACCCCAGCACTGCAGGCAGGTACCTTCATTGATAAAGATCAAGAAGTTGCTCAGCTGGAGTGACTTGGAATAAGAACTCTGGATCCTTCTGCTGATTCAGCCATGCCTGGAATTACCTTTCAGCCTGGGTACCTGGGCTTATCAAGGCACAGTTGAAGACACTCAGTTTAATCCTCCTTGTAAATTACATTTACACTGCCTGCTGTTTACACTTAGGCTTGAATTATCAGTCTCCATTTCCTGTTCTCATCTTCTCACAGGCCAAATGGACAAAATACGGCTTTCAGGAAACCACTGCCTGCATGTGTACTTCAATATGTTCACACTACCTGAGCAAGTCCTGCTGAGCCTGTGTGACTGAGCTGCCTCCCTCACCTGAACTCCTTCACCTTTTTCCTCATGTGCTGGTTAGGAAGTGATTTCCCCCACCAGCAACCAGCCAAGTTATAGGAAGCATTCATCATGTTGTCTCTCCCTTCTTGTCTTGTCTTCTCAGAAGGTCAGGGTGATTTGAGAGAAATCTTAAGAAGTCACAAGAGTTTCATCCCCTCAAAAAGCAGAACAACCCTGAGAGGAGAAGTTTGGCCAGCAAACCCCACCATGTGGACAAGCCCACAGCACCGTAGCTCTGATGATTAAGAGTTACTGTTAGTTCTGGAGCACAAGGATCAATATACTTTGGGACTTCTTGTGAGGGTCCTAAAAGCTCTCAAATGGGCTGAAGCTATAGCACCACACCCAGCCAAGGCCCAAAGTGTCACCTCTTATCTGGGACTAAGGTACTTTGAACCCAAGTCCTTGATCCAAGGGCTTTCACATTGTGGGAAATGCTCTCCTACCTTAGAGGTCTGACATCCTTCCTCTTTTGCAGTGTCTCCTGCTCAATTTTCTGACCAAGGAAGGAAATCTCAGACAGAAGTGACCACAGCATCACCTGGGCTAGATAAAGATGCCTGCAGCCTGGAGGCACCAGCTATCAGCTGGATCTGGGCTAGGAGTTGCCTGTTTGTCAGGCAGCACCACTCCCAGTGTGTCACACTGGTTTCCTTATCTCCAGGTGGACTTTGGACAGAGATCAGTACTGCAGACACCCGGGCAAGGAGGAGCTGTTTATGAGGATCATTACACACTTGGGTGAGGCCCCACTTGACTGATAGGATAGAAGCCCCAGCAGAATCCAGGCCAGTTTGCTTTGCTCAGTATCAGGAAGCTGCACTCCAGTGGGTCCCTTTGCATCAGAAAACCTTGAGCTCGCAGCCCTGTGACCCGCGTGGGTGCCAAGTCAGAGCAGTCAGTCAATGCCTGTCTTTAATGAAGGGTTTTAAGCACTCAGCCTGGCCAGAGCGGGCACAGGCTGAGTTAGGTAATGGCCTGTTACTGCCCTGGCCCCCAGACACAGCAGCAGCACAGCCAGGCACTGCTCTCTCAGGAGCTGAGGGGACACAGCAGCTTTCTGTCCCTGCACAGCTGGGAACAGCTCAGGGAGGAAGGGCCATCCTGTGACTGCCCTGGCTCCATGGGCCTGGCCAGAGAAAGCTCCCTCAGTCCTCACAGGGAAGGCAATGCAGAACAACCAACACATGGCTGGGCTCCTGCTGCTCAGGCTGCAAACAGGGAGATGGCTCCCAGGACAGCCCTCAGCCAATGGGAATTTGGGCCCAAAGCCTAAAGGCAGAGAGAGGTGCTGTTTGGGAGATGGAGCCTGCAGCAAACAGGGGGATGCAGAGCCAAAGAGGGGAACACACTGCAGAGACAAACCTGCTTTACCCCCAGACCCCTCCAGCTTCACCAGCTCTTCCTTCCAGCCTCTTTCCCCCCATTCCTGCTCCCCAGAGCAGAGCAGGGCAGTTGCTGCAGAAGGCACAGCAGCTCCCTAAGTGCTTACCCAGATCCAGCAGTGCCAGCCCCCTGCAGGAGGGCTGATCCCGAGGCTGGAGAGCAATCAGTCACTGACCCAGGGGAGGGAAAGCCCATTTATTTAGGCTGTTCAAATTTGGCACGCACAGAACATATCACAGTAATGCACTGGAGGCTAAGGGTTTTGGTTTTTTTTTTCTTTTTCTCTACAGACATACAAGAAAACTCTATGCAACTCCCATGTACACATTACACAAAGGAAACAGCTTTAATCAACCACTGATGAAACATGGAAGCTTTTAAGATCTCTGTAGCTGGCACAGGAATGTTCTCTACCCCCCATACAAAAGGCATTTCAGGTCAAACTTTCTAGTAGGTGATATTACCATGCATTTCTACAGAATTAAAGAAGCTAACAGACAAAAAGCCCAGATCAAGCCATATTAGTCAGGCTGATTGGTTCTACTAAGTTAAATCAATAGTTATTATGGACAAATGGACCAAGTGACCAAAGACTGGGGCTGAAAATACCATTTTTAAAGTTGTGGTTCCTTTTCATTTTACTACCCATAACTGGAGAGCTCTGATATAAGAATCTGTATTTATAAAAGCCTTAGAAGCATCTGATCCACTAGTAAGTGTATATTGGAGAAAGGCAGTTCTAAATTAAACTGTGTCAACAGAAAAAGCAATTGCTATAGAATCACTCAGGAGGA